CATTTGGTAAGGCATTGATCCACATTTGCCGCTCTCCATCCAGGTGTAAATGAGTATACATGGCAACGCTGGGGTAATAATCAATTATTGCAGGGCCCGCAGGACGAATAGTATTGATACTAATGTGGCTGCCCCGGCTACTAAGACGCATTTCATATAAAGCCTATTATTTAGCAATACAGTTAACAACTAAATTATTCATACCCCTTGTAAATTTGATGTTTTTTGTGTTTTTCTTAACTCAAGAATGAAGGGTGGACTACTTGAATTAGGGCCTTTGTTTAATATGTTTGGACAAAACTCAGTAAGGGTATGAACTATGTAGTTGTTAATTGTGGGTAAGTAATTACCCATGTATATACTTTCACGTTGGGATTCTTTGATTAACTTTAAATTTGAACTTGCCTTGTTAAAAAACTGCCTCGGCTGTTAAATCACGGCAACCTTTGCACGCTTTAAAAAAAAAAAGGGGGGGGGGGGTGGGGTATCCAAGAAGGCCAACACCCCACGAGACCTGCAATATGGGTCTCATTTAAGGGTAAGTTTACTCACTCACTTTTAATTGAAGCAGAAAAATCAGACAAACCAATCAAAAAAAGTTTGAGCAAATCGGATAACTAATAAGAAAGTTATGAATTTTTAATGACGTGAAAAACTTAGAAAATCACAAAACAAATTGGCAACTCACTCATGAGTCTGTGACGTCATTGCCTCACTAACTACTATTTAAACAAAAATAAATTGATAATATATATTTCCGCGCGAAGGCCCACGAGACCGGCATAAAGGTCTCGTGTGCTGTCGGTCTCGTAAACCCACAGAGTGGACCGTGTGTCTCGTGAGTCGTCCGTCTAGTAAACCCCAAGAAGAAAAAAATGATTTAATTTATTTATACTCTAGCCAGAGTTTGATGTGTTTTTTTTTTTTTGGGGGGGGGGGGGGAGCACATACATGTAATCGATCGAGGTCAAAAGAAGGGGTCTAAAGAAGTTCAACCGATCTTGGAAATTTGTTGGGGGCACGTGCCCCCCCCCCCCCCGTGGCTACGTACCTGGTCAGCTAAAAACTTTTTTTTTCTTCAAAGGGGTCCAAGCCCCCCTCCCCAAGAACCATATAGTTTTATATAGAAACAAAAATACTGAGTTGTTGGTCTTGCGGACTGTAACCATTTTTACCGTCGTCTAAAAACTTTACAGACGTGACCTAAAAGTGAACCCTCTGAAAATGTAATAGCACATGCAGACAGCTTGAGTGCTCCTCTATTTTCATCATCATTATGTTACATCAATGGATTATCACAGAATTATATCCTATAAACCGATTCAGAATTCTAAATCCTGAGATGCAACACATTCATCAAATGATTCAATTAACGACAAAAAGAAATAGAAAGAAAGAAAGTTATAGTAAGTCGGTCAGTGGGTGACATCAAATAGAGTTCGGTGATTACGAAGATGCCATGCAGCAAAAGGAGATAAAGGGTTCATTTATATTTCTCCCCCCCCCCTCTTTCTCTCTCTCTCCCTCCCGAGCTTATGCTATTGTGGTTTTTGAATTTAAACTGATAATTGGTTGGGCACGCGAAGGAGATAATTCGGCTCTGAGTGGAGATTAGTAGATACCTCTTCGCTAATATCTTTCTTTTGTGACTTTTGATATCACAGATTAACGACACGAGCCAAGGGGGGAACCCAATAATAGCTTCCCCCGCTCGTGGGCCCCAAGCGCATTCCTTGCAAGAACTACTACAGATCGGAGCTTCACATCGCTTTAGAAATAATGAAGAGAGAATTAGATTCGAAATTCGATTTCGACCCGAAAAGCCATCGCAATAACCTGAATGGTATTAGATCTTTTGGCAACAAAAGGAACCAAAAAGTCAATTACTCGGCCCCGAAGATATCTCGGTGTAAATAAAACGGGATATGACCACAATTCAAATTGATTATACTGTATAAGGGGTCCCCTATAATATAACACAATTAACGAATGATTGTCATCGTAAAAATATGTCTTACTCTGTTATAAAGTGCCTTAATATAAACCAAGCGTTTTGTGTTAAATCGAAACGAGTTCTACATTGTCTAAAGCAATAGAAATTACTTCGCAAGTCTTCTATTTTTTGCTTTCACCAGTTTTCAAGAATTTGTGACATATTTTTTCATACATTTGGGATATTAAATCGTCGGAGAATGATTAGAAAAGGTAAACTGTTAGGAAAATATCTCAAACTGTTGTCACATGTCACAAGTGACCAATATCGTGCAATAAAATTATATCATATAGTTCCTACAAATTTGGTTCAAAAGTTACTTGGAAATATCATACACACGTAATAGATATTTCGAAACGTATAGTAAAGAAAGGTGGGTGCCATGTTCTCTTTCTTTGTTGTTAAACTTATGTTCGGGTTCGGAAATATTTGTTATCTCCGAAGATTGCCGAATGTGAATATTTGTTATCTGCAAAGATTGCCGAATGTGAATATTTGTTATCTCCGAAGATTGCCGAATGTGAATATTTGTTATCTCCAAAGATTGCCGAATGTGAATATTTGTTATCTCCGAAGATTGCCGAATGTAAATATTTGTTATCTCCGAAAATTGCCGAATGTAAATATTTGTAATCTCCGAAGATTGCCGAATGTAAATATTTGTTATCTCCGAAGATTGCCGAATGTAAATATTTGTTATCTCTGATGATTGCCGAATGTAAATATTTGTTATCTCCAAAGATTGCCGAATGTTAAGAGAAGGTAGCTATCCACTTCGGTTCATTGCGCTATCGGCTATGATAATTTCATAGAATAGTAACAACCATTCATTATTACCCCCTCGCCCTGAGGTGAGCAGTAAATGATAATTCCCCGGCAAATCATTACCGAAGGACAATAAAATCCAACAATGAAATATTGCAAATGGAATATCGATCGATTGAAATTGGCAAGCAAATGGATAATGGGATTAAGGTTGATAACCATCAACTAAGTTCAAAATAGATACCCTATCACTTTGATTATGTGAATATTATAGCCGTGACGTGCATTATGACATGTTTTAAAAGAAACAAAGAAATAAAGAAAGGAAGAAGAAAAAGTAGAGTAAAGAAGAGGAGGAAGAAAAAATCCAGAAAGAAGAAGGAAGACACACCTGTTCGGATGTGTTCTGAATGCGTGTACGCTAGAGTAAAATGTTATGACTAATTTTATCCCCAGATAACTACACTTGAAGATAACCAAGGAGTTACCTCCTTGATATAACTACCTCCATTCCCTAAATTTAACCACCTAGGAATGTTCGTTAGATATGGTATGTGTGTGTGTGCGTGTGTGTGTGTGTGTGTGGGGGGGGGGGGGTAGCTGGCCCGGAGTTAATAGTTCATAGTCCGGTGATTGTTGTCCGGAGCAAGATTCAGGGGGTATAGTTGCCCTAGAATCTAATTTCTTACATGTTTTACAAGTAACTAAAAAAGATAGGAAAATAAAAGAAAAGAAAAGAAAGAAAAACCATCATTGTGCTCTTAAAAGTTGCATATTGCCTCATCTGATATTTTATAGCCCAACCACAAAGCCCAACTCATCTGAATTCTAAGAGCAAAGGGACCGTGGCTTTGAAGGAACAATCAAAAACTAAAGTACAGAAATCCCGTAGAATATGGCGAGGGTCATGGAGGGGTAAAGCGGTTCGTTGTATTGTTGCTATAAATCTGGGATCGACCACAGAGTCAATTAGACAGATAATTACGTGGTTAGATGAAGTCATTGGCTTCCAGAATTGTTGCTTCGGGATATATGTCTGTTATCATGGTTGGGGTAAATACATAAAAATTGATTCAGGGAGAATGGTGCGATAAATGACTAATATAGGAGCAAATCGACTCCTGTAAAAGTGTTTCTTTGCATTTCTTTGATATTAAACTATTTAGGTCATTGAATACCCTTTCTACAGATGAAATACCTATCCGATAGTATCATGGTATTAATTAGGTTAGTACTAAGGTGTTTCATTCTTGTCTTTATTTTCATTGTAGAAATAAATTCTCTGAAAACGAAAGAAAATTAATATTTTATAAACATAGGTTATACATGGCATATTGCATTCCTTCTCCTTTCCCCTCCAGCTTTTCCACTCATATACAAGCCTCTCCGTTCCCGTCATGCCCATCCCTCTCACTCCCCGACCCTATATTATTACATATCTATTATAGTCCTTTTATTTTTTTATCTTCTCCTCTATCTCCTCCTCACTGCATATCGTCTGTTTAGAGCCAGAAAGGCGTTGATTCTGTGTAGTACAGCTATATGAGTAAACTCCCTTCTGGTTCCAAATAGACGATATCATTCTGTATTCATTATTATTCGCCTTCTTCTCCCCACATATCCGTGCACACTCTCTCTTTCTCCTCCCATCTCTCTCCACCTTCTCAAGCTCTCTCGCTCCCACTCCCTCTCTCATCTCTGCTCCCCCATTCATTCATTCTATCTCTCTCTCTCTCATCTCTCCCTCCCCTCCCTTCCCCATCCATTCTCTCTCTCTCTCTCTCTCATCTCCCCTCCCCTCCTTTATCCATTCTCTCTCTCTCATCTCTCCTTCCCTTCCCCCATCCATTCTCTCTCTCTCTCTCTCTCTCTCTCATCTGCCCCCCCTCCCCTATCCATTCTCTCTCTCTCTCTCTCTCTCTCGCTCTTTTTTAAAATATTTTTGTTATCTCTATTTATCTTTTCAACAATTGTTCAATCTTCCATCTCCATTAAACCTTGTTATTACCTGTGTTCCTCTTTTTCTTAACTGTCAGATTCATTCTCACTCTTTCACACTCTCACCAGAACGATATCAATCTAACTCAAAGTAAAATTGACATTACTCAAAATATTCATAAAATCAATTTATTCTTCAACACAAGTTAAGGAAACTCCATCATATGTCATGTTTGAACTGAAATTCAAAATTCATTTACATAAATAAAAATATTCACTGAAATAAATAAATACATTTTGATTTAACAAAAATTTGCTGACAAAGTTTCTTAAGTTTTTAAATACAATACTGAAGGTAAGAAAACTGTAAAACAGATTTATGAAATATATACTACAGCAGAATTTAAAATCGTCATGCAGTCACTTTTATAATATCCATTCCCTGTTCAACAGAGTCCTACAAAAGGCCTCGCAACAACATTTATTCATAATGATAACAATATTTTCTATGAACTGGGGTACAATTTCATAATTTCCATAGTAAATCACTGCCTGTCAGCTTCAATAAAGTCCAAATATAATCTTTCATAATCATAACTCTCTCAGCAATAAGCCCCCCTACAAACTAATATTGCTAGTGGACATCCCTCAAACATTGCAAGTGGGAGTTAATTTAAGATGATTGCCGGACAAGGGTCAATCTATGGCTCCTTGCTCATAATTCAAAAGCTTTCAGTCATCTAAAATCTTGAGAGAAAAATACAAGTGAATACATTTCAAGCACCATTGTGCCTGCAGATCATCCTTGTAATACAGAATTACTGTCCTTTTTTCTCTTTCATACAAAAGAAGTGTACTTCACATCGTAATTCATTTTTGTATAACTACAAAAGTTTCAATTTCCTTCCAATCCACTTAATGTTGTGAAGCACAATCCATTATTTTCCTTCAAATTTTTTTTTTTTTTTGCTCGTTGAAATACGGAAAATGAAATTTACACATGATATGTCTTGAAAATCAAGGAAAAATGTTAGTACCGGAAATGCAAATCTGATAAGGAAAAGTTGAATGAAACAGTTCTCATCCTTCTTGTCGATGAGTTACCTAAGAACGTAAAATTAACAAAGTAAAATGCTTGCCAAGCTACATTGGTAGTTTAATACTTAACAGAAATTGCTATAGCTTTTAACGTTTAGATACACACACATAAAAAACTAATGTACTACGTCTTCAAGACGAGGGAGTATTCACCCACAGTAATTTGAATCCTATTTGAACATGCAAAGCTTACATAATTACATTTAAATGTCAAACTTGGATCTCTTTGTGGGAGTATTATCATTTTAAGTCATCCCTTCTCATTGGAGATGATGGATTATCCAATTAAAATTTGATTTCTAGTAACCTGATATTCCAGACAATTTTTCTAAAAGGACTTTAGCTGTGAAAAATCCCATTTTCCAGGAATGAAGTAATCTTTGCTAATGAAGATGCCAACGCCTAACAAGAACACATTATGGTAATGAAATAGAACAAATACCTGAAGAGTCAACCCAGAAATCCAATAAAAGCTGCTAAACGTATCCCAAAGATTAAAGAAAACAATTTAAGTCCATCGCTTGGGAATTAATCTTGAACTATCCTGGGATGTTGACTACCACCAGGTGACTAATCAGGGGGACTCTATCGGATGCCATAACTCCATCATCGCAACACCGCATCCCCCATCTCAGCCCATCCTCTGGGGGAATCTGGAAGATGGGGAGGAGGGGTAAAGAGAGAGAGAGATCCAGAGAAGCGGGGGAGGCGAGAAGTTTCCCCTCCAGCTCGCTGCGTGCGTGACGAGCTGAAGCAGATGCCTTAGTTTCATCTTTCTTAGATTTCACGCATCTCGGCGGCGGCGGCGAGATCTGCAAAAATAAAGAGATGGTGAGAGGGAGAGAGTGAGGATATGATTTGGCAAGATTGCAGCCTGGCTTAATTGGTTGTCATGGTGATTGGATGATGTTTGGTGATGATGAAGATGAAGACCAGTGATAGAGATGGTGGTGGTGGGATGATTTGATGGATGAGGAGTGAAGATGGTTAGTGGGTGATGGAAAAGTGATTTGGAAGATGAGTTTGATAAGGAACATTGGATGGTAGGAGAAGAGAAAGAAAGAGAGAGAGAGAGAGAGAGAGAGAGAGAGGGAGAGAGAGAGAAAAAAAAAGCTAGAAGCCTTGTTAGCGTTGTTCATACTTGTATCTGCCACTTATCTGTAAAATAGGTGCAAGTATAGCTTGTATTTGTAGGACTTGCTACCAAATAGCAATTAACTTTGTAAATGAGGGACACAATATGAAAACACAATAACAAAAAGGTCATCAACTTGGAAGAAAAAAAAGGGGGGGGGGGATGGGGCACATTTTTTAAGGTGTATACTTATCGCAGGGTTTAAAAGGGTTAGGGGCATGGGACATGGGTCACATGTGCCCCTAAATCTGCCAGTGTGAATGGGTTTCACCGAATACCAAATAATGTGTTATTTTGCTTCCTGCTTTTTACAGCTATTTCTTTCAATGGAACCTAGTAAAAAGTAAAGGACTATTACCAAACCTAGATATGAACAGTATCCACAGGGCAATTCCACGGTAACGGAAGGACACTCAGACAAGATTTTTGAACTTCAGGTTCATACTAAAAGAAATGTTTTATTAGTATGTATTAAACTATGGGGAACAAAATGTGTTTCAGTCAAGTGGAAAGCTTCATCAACTTCACAAAGTTTGGATAAACACTAATTAACTGGAAAAACCATGTCCATTTTTATGTCCTTCCGTTACCGAGATAATTAATATGCACATTCTTAAACTACTTAACTATAATGACAATTTTTTTGGGGAGAATTAAAGGCACTTATATAGGTATTATATCTGTACTGTTTCACATCTTATACTAATAAAACAGTTCTTTTAGTATGAACCTGAAGTTCAAAAATCTTGTCTGAGTGTCCTTCCGTTACCGTGGAATTGCCCCACAAAATAACTGAAACATTTACGGCTTGTGCAGTAAAGCATAGCATGAAGTCCGACCCTTGGCCAAAATGTGCACTGCATGCTGGCTAACCACAATGCAAAACGGTTCTTGTCGATCAAAGCAAATATCATATTATTGCTGATGGGTATACGAACTGGGGCATATACTGTAGTTGAATATCGCAATATGAATAATGAACAGAGGCACACTGGGGATTACCACAATAACACTGAATTATTATCATTATTAATAATATCAATATATTATGGTATTTTGAATCAAGTGAATATTAATATTACCAGTACTACTACAATACAACCATAATATTGTGGTATTGCTTCCCCAACATGAACAGCGACCAAGAAAAATTGCTTAGCGATGCAAACCAACAATATAGCATTATTCACAAATATGAACAGGGTTTTTTTTGTGATAGGGAGCAGAGGGGTTTGATTGGAGACGGGAGGAGAGAACCTGACAGGTAGAAGTGTAAAGGGATGGCATCACCCCGATGACGAAGATGATCAAACGTTGATTAGATGGGGCGATGAAGTGGAAAGAGAGAGGGGAGATTGGTTTGATAAGCTTAGACATGACGGGCCATTCTAGTAGGGGTGAAACTTCAATTTCGTTTGACAGAAAGGCAATTCTCAAAATTGAAGTAAAACAGGCAACGACTGACTCAAGAAGTCAGGCTGATGTTAATTTGTTGAAAAGTTACAGATAAGGAATAATAGATGATGCCGGTGATAACTTGCAATGATAGATAAGGAGATTGTAGGTGCTTAAAAATATAGGATTGTATTTCTTAACAAGAGATGGTGCTGATTACGACAACTGTGACTCTGTTAAAACTGAACGAATACACACAGCTAATGGGAAGGGGTGGAGGTTACGGGGTAAAGTTCTTAGACTTCATCATTTGTTATTGAGGAAGATCATTACATCTGGGACCTGTTTCACAAAGCCTTTTTTCAATGACAAGTGACAAAAATCAGTGACAAATCTGCTGATAATCAGAAGCAAGGATTTCACTAGCTTATAACGAAAACTGTCATTTGTCACTGATGACAAGTTATGTGAAATGGGGCCCTGTTTGGAGTCAGAACGGTGTTTGCTCTGTATATAATGTTATGAGTAAATGCCCTTCTGGCTCCAAACAAGCAAATTATATGATATATTATTTGTTCAAAGAAGAATTCCTGACCCACAATTGACATAAAAAATGAGTTTCCCCGTAGAAAATAACATAAACAATAAACTTGTAGCTCGTCCTACTTATTTCATGATGCACAACAGTCCATAACGTGAGAAAAAAATCTAGTTAGATTAAAAAAAAAAAAGTGGTCCTCATCCTATCAACTGCTAGAAAATATTTACAAAAACAAACTGAAATCTTACTCTAAACAGTGTTAAAGATCTTACTCTACAAATGGTTTATGAGTTGTTTTATTACATAAACTCTTTCTACCGATATGGTGAAGACATATTAAAACAGTCTGCTGAGTATCAGAAGGGCTTAACTCCTATCATGAAACATGGAGTTAACTCCCTTGTCGCTTTAAACAGAAGATATCATCTCAGCGCCAGAAGGGAGTGATCAAGTTAACCCCTTCTGGGTCTGTAGTCTTAGCAGACAATAAAGGGTATCTCTCCATCTCTTAGAATATAGAATGGGCATCATCTCTTTACACCACACTCTTTCATGCTTAAAAAACCTCTGGGTGCCCGCATATTGAGTTGGCAGAAGTTTAAAAGATTCATCAATTTCCGCTTCATCTTTACTTACAAATCCTAAATATCTCCCAAAATGGCCTCCAGGTATGATATTGATTTTTGTGAGAGCGTCCACAAATGCGTGAAGGGCTCAAATTTCCAGGAAACTATATCTTATTTTTGACACCTTCCTCTCTCCTTCCCATCTAAATTGCTGACCTATCTTTGGTTCGGAGAGGACACCACAAGGTGTGTTCAGAAGTGAGGATCGTTCTCACATCGCCCATCGAACGCTTTGTTGACTTTGACACTACCAGAGTTCTTGCGTCTCTCTACATCTGCTGTTGGAATATGGCAGTTTAAACTTGAGAGTGATTTGATGATGGGTTTAAAGAAATGGAGGTGAGGTATTACTTAATGATGACATCATATGGCGCTCAGACACATATGCTCTGTCGTCTACTGCTCTAGGCTCAAATTCACCAAAGATAAGGGTTTGGATTAGGGTTAAGGTTATGGTTGTTATCAGGTTTTAGGTAAGGTTTAGGGTGAGGGTTAGGGCTTGGGTTTGTTATAGCCTTTGCTCCGGGGTTGCAGTTGAGAATATTTCATGATTAAGAATATCTTTTCTACTTTTGCTTGCAATTTTGCAAGAAAAATGTGTAAGGGTAGATCAAAAACTTTGTTTGAGCTTTAAATGATCTACAAACATTTTAATTTTAGCAGTATATCTGGCATCCTTGACAGATTATTCCAATTTGAAAAGTGTTTGAGCAGCCTCTGGTTTTCCTGTGTTCATTCTTAGTAATCAATGACGATTTAAATATCACAGTTGTACCTCTTAAATTTTTTGTTTCCCTCTACAATCACAGCTTTATCCATCCCCAACCGAGTGTGAACACCATCACTCCCTTCTCCCTCTCCTCCTGGACTCCTTCTCCAAGCCTCCATCCCTGTTCCATTGCCAGATTAGAAGCATGTAGAGGGGGAATGTCAGGTTCCCCTGGGGGCCTGAAACTCCGGTGGAGAGAGAGAGAGCGAGCGAGGGGGTGGCATCCGCGGAAGCACCCACGCCAAACCGCCACTCTCCACCCCGTAACCCAACCCCGGAGTAAATCTCGTAAATGGAGTCGACTTGATGTATGTACTTCAGCTAGCGAACAATATCGCATGACAAATTACATGCATATTTCATTTTGGGGCATTTCTCCTTTATTTCATTGACAAAAATGGGGGAAAGGAGAGAGAAAGCGAATCTTGTTAGGTATGATTAAAGATGCCTATTTTGTCAAGCACTTTAGGGGATCCATTATTTGTTGTCGTTTTTGTTGGTTTCCTGAGTAAGAGAATGAATTTGATATCGAATGACAAGAGATGGAGGTATGACTATTTTACCATCATCATTTAAGTATATTCCACCTCACTGCCCCATGGTAGATTCTACCTTCTTTTCTAATTAAAGTGAGGGTGATTGATTACTAGGAGGAAATGACAGGGCACTTCAGGCTAACTTGACTCTCTCAACCCAGGCATAGGTAGAATGATCAAACCAGAGTCTTTCACAAATTACTATCAGCGGCCTTTTTAGAAGAAAGAATATTTCACAAATTTGAAAGTTAGTGTCATAATTCAAAATGATTTTGTGAGTGCCAGGCATGCATTATCATATATCCACTCTACCTCCCTGCCAACTGAAAATTCTATTTACAATAACTCCCTTTATAAATACACCTTCCCCGACTACTCACAAAATTCATGACAGTTCTTAAACTAAGTTTCGTTTTGATTCCACTACCTTTTGAGCCTTGTTTGTGTACCAATTTCAGCCTCAAAGAGGGGGAGAGCTGCATTAGAGACACGGGCCTCCGTAAGATGGAAATGCTGCCTCATGAGCCCCGTATCATAAAGAGTTGCGATTGATCTGACTCAATCGCAAGTCCTCTAATCCATTGCAAACTTGCAATTCCCTATCTCTCAGTGATGCATAAATTGTTATACCTCACTTTGTATTGTAACCATTACTGTAAAGTCACATGGATTGAAAAAGAAGACCTTAAGGTTACTGTTATTTAGTTAACCTTTTTTTTCGGGCATCCATGTGACTCTTTTCCAAATGTACTCTTGTTCTGTATTCAATGATTTTCTAATAAAATAATAATAATAATTTTTAAAAAGACAAGATGGAGCCCATGTCCGCAAAGCAGCCCCCCCCCCCTTTGATGCTGAAATTGGAACACAAACAAAGCCCAAAAGGTAGTGGAATCAAATGTATACAAGCAATAAATACAGTACAGCAAATATCAAAACACACAAAAAAGGAATAACAAATACACTTAAGTTATTGCCATGTATTTGTTTGCTATTCGTTTTATTTTTTTCATCAAGAAATGACAGAGAGAGAGTGAAGTGCGTGGGACGAAGAAAGTGCAGCACATCTTGTCACTTTTTAAGAGATATATCATAAAGCAGACTGAAATTTGAGGAAATATTGTCTCAGCTCGACAATGGCGATTGGAACCAGATGTGAGGAAGCGCATCACTGGACTGCAGTCAAGTTTTGGAACTTGGTCCAAATTCAAAACAAAGATGTACTATCATCTAACCATTTTTTTTGTGTGATTGAAAGAATTGTACGGTACCTGGATATCTCTTGGGAAATGGGACTCTTCCCAATGAAGAATAGTTCATTTTTAACAGCATGCACTTCCAATCTGGCCTTAATTTACTGATACTAACAAACAACTTTGTATTGAAGATTATGAAATGATGATCAGGTGAGGGGAGAGGGGGGCTGCAGATCACATGATTATTTTCCTCTCCCTATTTGCCCATTACTTTTTAGACATTTTCAAGCTGTTTGGGGCATTTTATTTTTTTCCTTTTTAACATAAATTTGTGAATTTTAGCCAGTGAGTACCTTTAAGTAATGACAGGTTTATATGGAAAATAATAAGTTTCCATTCAAGAGGTCCTTGCAATGGTAATCATATCAGGGGGTGTTTCACAAATATTATAAGTTGAACATATCTCTAAGTTGGACTTAACAATTATGGAAAGCCGTTAGAATCAATGACAATATTTTGTAAAATGTATTCCAAAAGGCACAAAATGTTGATTCAAATCATTCATATTTTCTATTATCAAGGAAATTTCAAGTTCTTGATGTGGAATTTATAAAAAGTCTAAAATACATGAATTTTCACTTTTGAATATATTTTATTTTAAGGCTACAAATGGCTCTCTATAATTTTTAAGTCTAACTTCAAGACAAGTTCAACTTAGGATCTTTGTGAAACACCCCCAGGACTCTCCTATCAGAACTTACCCTTTGCCTCCTCCCCTCCTCTCTCATGGACCTGCTCTCCTCCTGGATACCACTCTCCTCCTGGATACCACTATGGATGCGGAAAGCATCTCATTGCCATGGTGATAACATCAAGCACAAGTTGGTTCCTCCGTTGCACTCTTGGTGCAGTCATCCCAAATAGAATGCACAGGTGGGTTTCCTCACAGTCAGTGTATAAGGATGGTACCAGATGACGACGTGATTAACTGTAACAAAATGAAACATGTACAGTCATTTTGAAATATTATTGATTATGCAAACTCTTCATATCATAAACATTATTAAACGTTCATAAGTATTTATCAGGATGGGTTACATATGAAAGAATAAGTGCAATTGACTGGAATAAACTGAAACACATACAGCAATGCTGTAAATATTATTGATACAACAAACAAACATTAAAAAACTCATTAACCGATACTGATTGAAATCCTCAATCGCCTAGAATGTGGTCTCCCACAGTTTGTTCAATTTATTGACCAAAGCAAATGAAGAGTTAAACAAAATTATCCAAAATATTCAGTCATCTTTCTTTCTAAAATACACAGTATCTATTCGCACTTGAATTCATAATTTAAACAAAGGAGACATTTCCTTTTAAACAGCAAGGCTCATCTTTTAAGCGGGGTTTTGTTTCCAAGGGCATTTTTCTACAAGGCCATTGTTAAAGTCGAAATAGTTTAACAATTACATCCTCCTATCTTTAAAAAATTGTAACATGTAGCCATTAATGACAATGAACTGGGGCATTTCTTGTCACGGCTCCTAGAGTTTGTGGGCAAACTGCCTTCACCCTTCTTGAATTTTAATGAAAGAAACAAAAATGTGGTAGTGAGAGTCAAACCTGTCTATAGCGACCGCCCAAGGGAAACACAAAAGTGGTCTTTGTAGAAAGGTTCCTTTAGTACATGTTTCAATGAGAAACCATTATCAGGGAAACAAAAAAAAATGTGGTCTTTGTAGACAGGTGGTTACTAAAGCAGGTTTGACTGTACATATAAGATCATAACTGACCTCCTGCTCATCTCCCTCCTTTCCACCGGTCCAGGTGTCCTCCTAGATACCACTCTGGATTGGATAGCATCTTGTTGCTATGGGGATAACATCGAGCACACATTGATGCTTCAGTTGTACTCCTAATGCGGTCGTCTCAAATGGGATGTGCGGAGGGGTTACTCTCGGTCAATGTACGAGTGTGTTTAGCGATGATGCCATGAACATGAGTTACTGTATTAACAAGATGAAACATGGGTAGCACAGTTGGAAAATCTGTTGATATTGCAAACTTTTCAAAGGCATGAGAAAAATCATAAAGTATTCCCCTCACTGTAAATGTACTGAGGTGGATACAGATGAGACAATGAGCTTGAGGTTAGTATCAAAATGAAACATGGACAGCAATGCTCTAAATATTGTTGATATAACAAATGTTAAACCTTTTAGCATCACTAAGTCAGTCCCAGCCTAAAACTATGAATAGCCTTCATGCCGATTGGTATATAACACAGATTTGTGAAGCAATGAGCATGTTTCCTGATGAGAAGTCATGTAGTTAATTTTGTTGTTTTCAAGAGCGTTTTAAGCCAAACTGGACTAAATTGATTAATCTAGAACTGTGATATTTACATGTATGGTATTGTAACATATTGACAGAAAGAGTTTCTACCGCGGCATTTTTTTTCATTGACTCATTTCACAGAGTTTGTGGGCAAATTGCCTCGATTTCTACTCGTTAGTAGTAAGATCGTAACTTACCTCCCGCTCATCCCCCTTTTGGCCATCGGTCCTGCTGTCCTCCTCGATACCACTCTGGATGTGCGGATAGCATCTCATTGCCATGGTGATAACATCAAGCTCACATTGATGCTTCTGTTGCACTCTTGACGCGGTCACCTCAAAAGGGATGCACATACGGGTTACTCTAGGTCAGCCTGTGATCATTGCCTGGGATGCCATTAGAATAAGCTCCTGTATCAAAACAACATGGATACAACATTTATCTCAACAATGAGCATATGACAACAAACACACATACAAATTTGAATTGTCATTCCTATGCAGAACAAGGATACCCAAAATTAAGAATTTGATTGATGCAACTTGATTTTCAACAAATCTATGTAATCAAGAATGCATATTTGAGACTTGGGTAACATAAACGCAATGATTTGAAGTAAGAGGGCCATGGATCTCTATATTTGCAGGTAGCTTTTACAACTTCTTATTATCAAAACAATTTTGCATTGTTAATACTATATTCATCCTTTTAATACCTTTATCACATAAATAATGCAGAAATGCTCTACTGCATAGGTTTTTTTAAAACATTTTTCATGAGAAATGAGGCTGAGAGATGGGAAAACATAATGAAATTGAGGACGATGATTAAAGAACAAGAAGTGGTAGGTAAAGTACATTGGGAGAGAGAGAGAGGGAGGGAGAGAGAGAGAGAAACAGAGAGAGAGGAAGAGTCTAGAGGGGGAGGATGGGATAAACAGGCAAACAATAAAAATATCAATAGTTTGGATAATAAAACTGAACATTTTGAAATTGATAGGTAATAGGACACGAGTCTCAAGGTGGAGAGCATTATATCCAAAATGAAAGATAAGTGGTAGAGAAATTTGAGTTTGAAAAGGGGAAATTACATCGAAGAGAAGGGAGAAGAAAAAAAAACATGATAAGAACAGATGGAATCTACAAGAGATTGGTTGTAAAAAGTACAATACAAATTTCAATCTCCTTGTATATATTACAAATAAAGACTGCAGGAATGAGGAATGAGAAATACTTAGGACCAATCTTACTTCTATTCTTAGGGCAAAATGGCAGTATAATCAAGGATAACTCAATCATTTCTCCATCAAAAGATCCTTCCTCCTCCTCCTCGTAATTCAAAAATCGAGAAGAAACAATCTAAAGAAATTATTTCCCGGCTTCCTGCCTTGCTATGCACAAATAGACACTGGTGGAAGGTTATTATTACAAATGGATAACCTTTTGATTTATTCGCTTGGCTTGCTTCCACGATCACTCAATTTTCCTGCCAAGCACGGCTGGATTCACCAAAATAATTTCCCCTGAATTTCTTTCCTAAATTTCCGCCAGAGATAATATGAATGGCCCGTTATCTGATATTGATTTTTTTCTCTTTCTTTCTTTTGCGATGGCATCGCGCAGTTTGAGCGTTGTCCTGAGGAATGAATTATATCACTGTCTTATTTGATTTTTGGAAGTAGTAATCAGTGTATATTTGATCAACGATTTACAGAATATCTGAGTCTTGTTCGACCAATCACAGAGGGGGTAACCTGACACTTTGAGGCCACTCGAGTTTATCTCTCTGTTTCATGTCACTCTTTGAACAATATGCTCTTTTCTTCACAGTGCAATATAAACATTTAACCTTCATGTGCTGTACATGTGAAACTTGAAAGCTTGTTAAAAGCTACATTCCAGCAGGTAATGGAATTCAATTACTCATTAACAAAACCTACTGGCAAATACTGTCCTCTGTTAAAACATTTTTTTGTTCTTCTCATACTAACTCTTTTATCCCTTACTACAATTATCATTCAACAATATCTTTTATTCTTCTACACAGAATAAAATCATTTATAATATTATGACAAAAGAGGCTTATCAATTTTGTTTCATTTGACATTTTTGCAATTTTTGCAAAGTGAACTGATGTTCTTTTGGGTCTGAGGCAGATTTATTGTTAAAAAATGTTTCCTAAAAATGATTGCAGCTATATTGCAGCTCACCACTTTTGATTATTTCTGGACAACCATTCTGGACAACCACTGCCCCCAAATAAACATTTTAATTCATAACATATAGAGCAATAGGAAACGTGTTTATGACACCAACCCTTAACTGACATAGAGCATAAGATAGGAGAATGGACTTGCATGCTCATCTTACTGTAAATGATTTCATGGAAAAGGAGGTGTTTCAGAGTAAATATTAAATTTCTGGGTCGGTTCTGGGTAATCAAATTTAGACCTCTCTGTTGAACGAATCAAGGCCCTCGGAGATAACGGTGTCAATTTGATCGCCAAATCACGAGATGGTTTTTCATAAATTTCATCACATGTCCCTCCCTTTCACAAGGAAAATATATAATATTAGATTATATTGATATTCATCTTATAACTATATTTATTAATGGAATTGCTGATGGTTTAAAAATTGTGGCAATGATTTCAGCAAAATTTCTTTATTACATGATTATTGAACTAAGATATAATATCAATACATAAGACTATTATTTTAGTTCTTCTACTGAACAATTAAATGCTTTCTAAAAATTGCATGAACTGAAATGATATTGCTCTCTTCTAATTATTACGGTATTTAAACAGGCAATCCTTTCATGTCTCCCTCCCCCTCTCATCCCTTCCATCTCTTTCTTTCTCTCTCTCCCTCACTCACTCCTTCTTCTTCCTCTCCCCCTCTCTCTCTCTCTCTCTCTCTTTCTTCCCTCTCTCTTCTCTCTCTATCTCATACAGAATTATTTCGCTACACTTTCCTATTGCTCCAATATCATTGCCTCAAAGTCATATTCCTATTTATACTTACATTCAATATTCTTATCATAGCGAATTATGGTACATTCTAATATACATTTCTATCTTTATCTCATATATACATAGTAGAAAGTGAATAAACTGAATTAATCTACTCCTGCATGCATAGTTATATTCAAGTTATCTCCTTTCTGCCTTTTATGCATGCATTCTCTTTTTATGTTAAGAAATGAATAGATTGAATTAACCTGTATGAGTTTCAAGGATGTATTGTCAATTGTTAATCTGATTCCTGCATCTGTAATACGAAGTAGCCCCAAAGAGAAGTAAATACGGTAATATATCTAATCTAATAATTATGCCTCGCCCGCCACGGGCCTATCTCCTTGCCAATCAATAAAGCCTGTTTCTGCACGCTGCTTTCTCTCATTAATGCCATTCAGTAATCACACAAGCATAAGACACATCATAGACACTGCCTTGAGGGCGGCAAACGCCCGAGATCTCCCCCACTGATATTCCTAAATATGTTTTTGCTCGAGCTGGAAAAATAACAGCAATCGTGAAATTGCCGCTAAATCGGTAGGAGCACCCTGGACAGGCCCCCACACCTGGGTGAACAATATTGCAGCGTTGCGGGGAAAACACTCTGCGATTGTTTTGATTGTAAATAAAGCCCGGCCTACCACAAGACAATTGCGCCCCCTCTCCCACCTTAAACCTATCCATTAGCAACACATGTTTACGTTTGTCGCGCCTGCAAATTTATCTTCGCCCGTCCCCTCCCGCCGCCGAGTTCTTCTCACCTCACAATCATGAAATGAAATAAAACCTGATGAGGGGAGAGAAATAATTGGCCCCGAGAAAGAGCAAGCAGAGGCTTGTTCGGCTTTTTCGGTGGGTGACTTAAAACTAAAATCCCCAAGAGGATTTCCAACGGAGGAAGCTCCCTTCCCTGAGGGGTTGCTAAGTGAGATGCCTTCTTTTCGATGGTGTCCCTAGCGACCATGGGATGACTCAAGACATCATCCCTGGAAGATCTATGCCATGTTCACATGAGGGATTTGGAGTCACCAAAGAGTTTGGTTTGAATTCCAGTTCCTTAAGCCCAGTTGGTCCCATAACCTGCATGAGAGGATCACAGGTTCAAGCCTCAGTGTAGCATGAGTGTGTTTTACCAAGACATTAATCTACATTTGCCACTCTCAACCCGGGTGTTGAATGGGTACCAGTAGGAAGGAATTCCTTGAATGCTGTGAGGACCGGAATTGGTAGCCTAGCGAGAGCAGGGGTAATCTTGGAGCGACTTGAACACCAGCCTTACATGTACATCATGGCTATGCGCGCTGTTAAAATATCCAATATTACTACCATCATTCATGTTAATCCTGGGGGGCATTTATCAAAAGTTTTCTTTTCATAAGAAACATGATTATTCCTGTACAGGGGAGTGGGGAAGGGCAGCTGTAACCTCCTGCCCCAGTAAAATTGACGTCTGACTTGATGGAAAAAATGGTCATGGCAATGATAGCTAGGATAACTAACCTTTTAAGTGATGGGTGGGTGTGGAAGAGGGTTTTAATAACCCTTTGAGACATTGTTTTTATCCCCCTTTTCTTCCTATCTTGCACTGATTTAAATTGTCCTCTTTATGTGGGAAGGTGGGGGTGGTGGTGGTGGGCAAGTG